TCAGTTCCAGGTACCACATGTAATGCCTCCAGGCACACCCTGCAGGCTCTGAAACTGGGTGTGGTGGCGCAGGCCTATAATCCCAGCTCTGGGAGTGCTGAGATAGGAAGGTCAACAGGAGTCTGAACTGCGTAGTGAGACTCTGTGTCTATAAATAAACACATAAAAACTTTTTTAAATAACTGAAAATAGGTAAAAGTAGGAATCAGCTTATTTGTGTATTACAGTAAGGACAAATTAAGGATAAATTAAGATAATGAAGGGATAAATTAAGATAGCTTACAAAATGGTTGGAAAATTACTAGGTAAGATGTCAGGTTTATGTTGAAAGGCAGGTTGTTAGGAAATAATTGACATTTGAAAAGAAAAGGGGCATTTGCAAAAGGAATCCCTTGGGAAGGGAAACAGGGCTTCCAAGTAGAGGCAAGTTGAGAAATCTCTTTGCAGCAGCCAGAATTGCAAGAGTTGCTTCCTCCCAGTAGTACCATGGCTCCCGCAGGGCTGGAAGTTTGTGAAAACACTTTTGAGCTCCAGCTCTGAGGGTTCAAATTAGTGTGATAATGGAGGGCATGTTGCCATGGTTTTCTAAAGGGAGAGACTCGGGCAAGTCATGACGCTTATGCACAGCGGCCAACTGAGGCCAAAACTACTCTCTAAACCACAAGGCGGGGAGCTTGTTTGAGGGACAGGTAACAACGTCATAACTAACAGAGGGGCTACTGAGTACTTACTTGTGTGTGCCAGACACACCTGAAGCTGGGCTTGGAAGATGGGGGAAAAGCCAGTCACAGGGGAAGGCAGACACTGTACCTACTTGCAGGGGGACTTTTCCTTTCCCTTTCCTCGGAGAAGCCCTTGGGTAGAGCTTGAGCTTTGCAGTTGTCAGCTTGGACTTAGTCCCTGTAAAATATTCCACCTGATAGTGCACTGGGTTCTTTCACATGTGATCATCAGGCCCTGCGGACACCAAAGAAGGGAGGCAGTGGTCCTGGGAAGTCGGAACGAAGACTGGATGCGGCATGAGGAGGGCGTGGGCGGGACTTGGCGCCCCAACTCCCTTCCTCAGGATGTGCAGCTCAGCAGTTGCTAGGATACCTTATCACTGTTCCCTCTCTGATTTTACCATTTTGGCCCTGCGCTTCTCACCTCGAACATCTGGACTCCTGCCAGAGGCCTCTCCATTAAACAGGGCTGCTGAGAAACCCACCTCTGCTAAGGACTCCGAGTGCGCTGCAGCCCAGAATGAGGAGAGAGCCGCGTGTGTAATGTTGCAGCCAGGCCTGAAGGTGCAAAGGAAAGGGAGTATTTGTGGAAAGGAAATCCTGAGGTGGCGGAGGAATGACAGTGTCAGATGCGCTGAGACTGCTGGGTGGATGTCACACTTCAGGAGGCTGAGGCAAGAGGATCGCTGTGAAAGCAACCTGAGGAAAAAATAAAACCAAATGCGTGGTGACTGCAGGGTGGTGCAGGCTCCTGGGATGAGGAGGAGGAGGCCCAGGGGGCGGAGCTGCGTCCCCTGCTCACTTCTGTGGTGCACTCCGGACAGCTGCACTCAGGAGGGACGTCTTGGTGCCGTGTACTCTCTGGCCTGGGGCTGGTACGTGTGTTCACATGAGGGAAGAGTGGGGGGGGGGGTCCATGCACCTCTCCTCGTTCTTTCTACACTGCGCGTACACACACACACACACACACACACACACACACACACCATCACTGAGGAGGCAGTCGGAGCACTTGGCACGCAAGCGCTGTTTCCCAGGTGTGGGAAGCGCTCCTATGGGATTGAGACCCAGCAGCCTCGCAGCCCAGGCCCGCGGGGTGCCCCTCCCTCCTGGCCTCGCCGCCCTCCCCCAGCTTCACGCACAGTGCCAAGCTTTTTATAGCTCTCACCACAGCCTGTTCTGCCTCCAAGTTCCTGGCGTCTGTTTCTCCCCACTGCAGGCTCCCCGGAGCCGAAACCTTGCTTTTTTTTTTTTTTTTTTTTTTCTTCAGTGTTCTCGATCCCGCAGTGCATTCCAGCCTGGCCGGTGTGCGGGGCCAGTCCATGTTTATTCAAGGTTGTGATAATTGGGATTGACTATTTCGAGGTGGGATTCGTGCCTACACTTACCTGTTTATCCTCCTGCCCCTAATAAACTGACCTTGGGCCAGCCAGATAGCTCAGCAGACTAACGTGCCTGCTTAAGCAGATGCAGGGACCAGGGCTCGATCCGCCGTGTGCCCTGACACCCCCGCCCCCAGAGCCCGCTGAGATGGCAACTGAGACTGGGCGTGGTGGCACATGCCTGTAATCCCAGCGCTCGGGAGACTGAAAATAGGAGGATAAAAAGAGTCCAATCTGTATAGTGAGACCCTGTAAACCCTGTACTAAATACATTAAAAAATAAAAAAGCAGTGACCACTATGCTTTGTTACCCTCATGTTTGCACAAGGCTCTCAGTAAATGATTCTTGAATCAATAGATATGTAATACAAATATGCATTATCAAATGATGTCTAAAGTAATGCGGGCTGTCTGCAGATTCCCAGTAAACAATTCTTGAATTTATAGATCATTAGATAATTAATAATTATATACATATCTAAACATGTATTTAAAGCAATACCATCTTCAAATATTTTAAATGGTAAAAGAAAAGTAAATAATATTTTAGCAGGAGCAAATTTATTCCTTTTGTAACCACAGATAGGGTAGCAGATAAAATTTTTAATCTGCACTAAGATTCACTATGTGGAATCACTTTATAAAATACTCTGGGTTATTAATTTATTTGGAAGTAAGGCTTGAGGTATCCTACCCCGATTATACATTTATTAGGTCAGTACATTGAAAGTTACGTGTTTAACTTTCAATGACTTCTGCAATCTGGGTTTTGAATATGACCTTAGATATGTAAGAATTGAGATAGAGATGCTTATTGGTCTCTGGTCTTTATTATTTGAATTATTATATTGTTTTCATATGAGCAAGAAAGAACATTGTGTGTGTGTGTGTGTGTGTGTGTGTGTGTGTGTGTGTGTCTGAGATCAGTTGATTGATTGCTATTCCTCAAGTCAGATGTACAGCCTTGGTCTTTGTGTTGCCCAGCCTGCCTAGTGCTGGTGAAAGTTTGGGAGGAGTTATGATGTCAAGTTATCATCATGTAAATTAGTGAAGGCTAGAGACATCGAAGGCAGTGCTCTGCCAGGAAGGGCTCAAGTGCGACGGAGAGTTGGGGTTGGCCATCGTATGTCTGGTCTCCTCCCCATGGTGTTGGCAGATCTGAGTCAGGGAGTGTTGTAGTCAGGGTTTCCAGGGGCGATGATTTAATACAGGATGCATCATTTATAGGATCATTTCATAATAGCCATCCACACAGTCAAATACAAGAGTGCAGGATCTGTCCACATACTAGAGACCCAAGGAAGCCTGAGGGCCCAGATCCCATGACAGTGTCCTGTGGGGGTCCAGCCAAAGACCTAGAGCCATGGCAATGTCTTCTATGAGTCCAACTGGAGACCAAGAGCCCATGACAACATCTCATGCAGGCCTCCTTCATGGATCTACACTGAGAAAGCTCCAAAATCCATGGTGGAGCTAGAAAGTCTGTACCAGTGAGATGAAAGATCTGTGCTAGCAGACTAGGGTATCTGCACTGGAGCCAGGAAGCAGTACTCAAAGAACCAAGCTCCTCCAAAGTACCACAGCCATCCTCAGAAACTGTGGAGTCCTGAGCTCCTCTGCGGGAGAGAACAGCCCAGATCATGTCAGGAAAGCCAGCTGGCGAGCTCCTGAGAACCAACAGCACCGCCTCTTCCTCTCCAGGTCTCCTTTTTACACTATTGACAGCAGTCCTCAGGTGGGCCCTGCTCGCCCAGCACCACACTGGCTCAGTTCACTTGTCACCATTGTCATCCACCACCCAGAGTGAGAGCTGACCGAGCATAAGCTAGAACTCAGAGAAGACTCTGTGATCATGGGCTGATGATGAGGGCTGAGCAGGATTTTCTTAACTGCACAGAGAGAGGGAACACCGAGCACCAGGTGTGAGGCCACTCAGACATGGATGAGCTTTGTCTTTGAGCAGTGCTGTATTTTGCCTGTAAAACAGTGTGCAGGCTGGAGCAGCACGAGACAGGACTAAGGACAGTCAGACCAACAGGCCTGGGGTGCAGCGAGCATGACAGTCCAACGGCTGGAACCCGCTGTCCTCATCATGTCTGGGGACCTGGGGCACCCGGTGTGGGCCCAGCTGCGACGCTCACGTGTTTGTAATCACTGGCTGAATTGTCCTTCATGACAGTGGACTGAGTGCTGCGATGGCTGGGTCCACTGCGGCTTGCTCACCTTTCATCCCTGACCCCCAGCACAGTGCCTGGCTTGTAGCTGGTGTTTATGGACTCAGAGCCATCTAGGCTGTGTGTTTCTGCATGCAGCAGGGGCAGTAACACACAACGGTAGCTCACACTGCTTCCTGTCACAGGCAACAGCTGCAACTCTTACTGTGAAAATAGGCAATAATGTTCCGTACACAAAAGGGCCAGGATACAGACAGAAAAGTGAGCACGGGATGCGACACCAGAAGGGTACAGCTGTTCTTCGCTAATAAATGTGGCAAGTGGCCAGTGTGCAGAATCCAGTTGACACTGGTTTAAAGAGTAACTAGAAGGACAGAAGTGGGAGGCAAGCAGGCCATAAAGATGACAACTGGCCCAGAAAGCACATCACTCGAGTGGCCTTAGGCAGGCAGTGGGGTCAGGGGAAGCCGTTAAGAGGATGAAAGACCACAGGCCAGAGTTCAACATGGAGACTTGGGGTGGGGTCAGACCTGCCTTCTTGCAGGGATGTTCCCCAGCGGAGGGCAGCTGGTGTCTCTTGGGATGGAAGGGAGATGGCAGCAGCTGGCATGGCAAGACTGTGTGCAGGGTTTTGGAGTGAAACCCCAACGTTGATGGAAGTGGGTTTAATTGCACCCCACAGTAGCATCTTTCAAGAAACCTGCACTCCTCTCTCGTTTCAGCTGCTCGGGGGTCTCGTCTGGATTCTGGTGGCCTCCTCCAACGTCCCTCTACCTCTGCTACAAGGATGGGTCATGTTCGTATCCGTCACTGCCTTCTTCTGTTCCCTCCTCTTCCTGGGCCTCTTCCTCTCTGGCATGGTGACTCAAATTAATGCCAACTGGAACTTCCTGGTAAGAGATTGCGTTTTATTCTTTTGCAAGAACATGGGAGAAACCTGCCAATGTCTCATTCTGCTCAGAGATGCCGGAGTCCCTGTTCTGGGTGTTGCCTCCCATGGGTGAGGCCAGGTCTGACCACAGTTGGGTGGGGCTGCCACTCACCTTGCCACTCGACTGGGCCCCATTTGTGAAATTCCTACACTGATGGAGTCAGAAATCATTGTGTGACTCCCTCATGACTCAGTGACTTTTATTCAAAGACTGTTCCATTTCATACAACAACTGTTCCATTTCATATTGCATTATAATTACTGAACAATAGAACAGCCTTTCGGAGCTAAACATTGTCACACGGGTCTGGAAATTTTTCATTTCTGCTGTGGATATTTAAGTGTATACAGTGAGCCGTCAGCTTTTGAAGGGCATTGTTCCTGGACTGCCTCATCCTGGCAAACCAAAGTGTGTGGGTTCTCAGGTACTGTATACAAGAGAACATAGAATTTGCATATAATTGACACAATTCTATCAGACGACTTATGTCACCTGTAGGTTACTTGGAGTACCTAATCAACATGAAGGAAGTGCAAATAGTTTTCATCCGCATAGTTTTTATACTGCAGATGTAGGAAATAATGAAAAAAGAATCTACAAGTTCACTACAGACATGATTTTTTTTCTGCATTGTTTTGATTGAACGGGTGATCCTGGGAAGCAGAGGCCAGACTGTAGATTCTTGTCAGAAGACAACTAGCTAGATATTCTGCTCTGCGAATGCCTACAAGAATGTTTGATAATGAATTCCTGTCCTGAATTATTAAGAATTGCTGAGTTTTGAAAAAGAAAATTTACAATCAATACAATTTAAAAACTATGACGCTATTACCTGGGTCACCTTACCTCCTCATGTCCCAGGCAGTCGAGGGGCCCTTTCTCGCTTAGCAGCACTCCACGGGGGCTCTTTCTGAAGGCCTGCAGGAGTGAGACTTCCACACCCCAGCGGACGGTGCCGCGGGGAAGCTCAGGCAGCTGTCCATTAGGCTCTGAACACATTCTGGTGTTCTGAAGCCCAAGCCAGACCTTCAGGAAGGTTAGGTATGTTCCTCTGCGTAGAACAGTATGTTATGCAGCAGTGTACCATAAGTGTCAGACGTAAGCACCCATTTTTGTTTCATAGAGTGTAAGAACCTTAATCCTGATTGTTTTCCACAGTGAAATCTAGCCAGCGAGATTGCCCTTTAAACCGGTGTGGCTCTAACGGCACCTCTTAGCATAGATCTAAGCAGGCAGAGGGAGCACACAGCCTTTCACTCTCCTGGGCTTGGGGTCTAATTGGCTTAATAGATATATAGCCTTGGGCAAAAATAGTGCACCTTTCAGGATTTTCATTGTTTCCTCTATAAAATGGTGATCATGGGCTGGGGAGATAGCTCAATAGAATAAGTGCTTGCCTGGCAAGCACAAGGTCCTGAGTTCAGTCCCCAGCACCACCAAACAAATAAGAAGTTAGGAAGTGTTTATTTTTAAAAAAATGATAATAATAAGGCCTGTCTTCCCAAATGCCATTAAAAAGCAATGGGAATGATGAATTACCTTCACTTGCTGCCTGAGTGACAGTAGGGAAACAATAATCATTCTAAATTCTTAAATACACTGAGGCTTGGATTTTCAAACTTTGAAAGCCCTTCCATTTCTGTTAGGTTGCAGATATATTGGTCACTGCATTTGGGGGCCTAATTATTCATTAATGATGAGAAAACTGCTTGGTCACCCAATAGAGATCAAAGGCCCCTAACTGGACTCCTGACACATACTCAATGTCCTTTACAAAACAACTGACTTTTCCACGATAAGGTTGAGAAGGGCTCAGTCGAACCCTAACGTTGACCAGCAAAACCAGGTTCTCTTAATAGCAGGCCCAAAAATGACAGTGGGCCAGTTCGTATCACAGTAGCCCTGTGTGGACCTCATAGTCTCCATGGTTACTGCCCCGCTTCCAGCGGTGGTGTGTGCCACACTCAGACCAGCCTTTTCCTGGGTCTCTGATGGCCCAACAACTGGAGGGTGACAACCCGGACACGCATGGTCTCCAGGACCCAGCAGTGCCTGGTATTCTTTCTAACTGATTTGCTGCACCTGTTTCATAAGGTGTAAAAATTTTTCAGATATTATTCCTGGTCTTCTTAGACATATTCCTTTATCAACATTTTCCCATCTTGCTCGTATTGAGCCTTTGATGTTGATTACAATCATTAATATCCTTAGTCATTTATTACTTTTCCTAAGTTTACATTCCCCACCCATTCATAGCCTTATATCTGATGTTCAAAAAACAAAAAGTGGGAGGCTTTGTTGATTTAATCACACCACTGTGTGACAGTTCACAATGGAAAGACCCTCCTGTCTGTCTTATCCTGCTTTTTTCCTTTTGCTTTGCCATTCGCTTTCTACAGAGCTAGTATAATCTGCACATAGGAGGAAAAATGGCACAGCACATCCTTGGGACGAGAGATATTCTGGATTTTGGAATATTTGCATAGACTTTACTGTCAAAAGTTTTGGGCCTTGGATCATTTCAGATGTCATGGTGTGGGATGACAGCACAGAACCCAGGATCTGCAGGCGTGCTACACTGCCTACCTTTGTGGAGTTTGTTACATGCCGGCTGTGTAGAGAGGACTGCCCTTCTCCCCTCTTAGTCTGTGGCCTTCACCACCTCCCTTGTGCTTGCCCCCAGGGCTAGCTCTTGATAGGCTTCATGCTGTTTCTGTTAGCCAGGAAGGCCCTGAGCTGTGCCTACCCTGGTGTCGTCGCCAGCTGGTAGCAGCTTTTAATTCCTGCCTTCTGGAAACCAGCAAACAGCAATCACTTAAAATTAATTCTTTTCCCCTTTAATAATAATTTAATGCTACCTGTATTCTGTGCTTGAGGGAAGCTAGAGTGCATTTGAATAAATAATTTACTTTGTACAAGAACTTGGTGGAGGACACTGATGTTAGTTTTTCTTTTTTTTTTTTTTGATCATGCAGTTAAATTTACATTCACAGTAATATATGTGTCCACTATTTCTTGCCAAGCTATCTAGCTTTAGCATAGCTGGTGAAAGAAAAATACAGTACGTAATAATGTACATTAAATGTGAAAACCTTGCCCCATTCTTATCTGGATAAAAGAAGATTCTAGTCTTGAAATATCATGTGTGTGTGCTTATGTGTATGGGGAGAAATACTATACTGTGCCCTCTTTGAAGGAAAAGATTCTGTATTCATATTACTGTTAGGCTTTTCAGGCGACGTGGTAAAGAGACAGGAGAGATAAAAGAAGCCTCTACTAGCTCCATAACGCGGAAAGGATGAGGGCAGACAGGGCAGATAGATCCTCTGGCCTGAGACAAAGAAAGCTGAGGCTTTCATGGATGTCTGCTGGGGTGGAGCTTGAGGGGGACGTTTAGAGATACCTGAGGAGCTGATCTGGGTCCTCCCTGGGGCAGTGGGAAAGGTGGAAGGATATTGCTTCCAGGACTGGGTGGGGGGAGAAGGAGGAAGTGGTCCCTGGGAAGACCAGCTGTTCTATTAAGGTCTTCGGCCATGTTAGATGACCACCATAAGAATTTAGCAGTTCACACTAGGGCCAGAACCTATAATTACCCCTTCTCCAGAGAAGATATGTGAAGGACAGATGCATTTTAGAAAAATAAGAACTATTTTATTAGATGATGCTTGTGGTACATAACAATCACCTTCTTCTTAGGACATGGGTGTATACACATCTCATACCCATTTTTAAAATCCTGTGCAGTCAAGCATGGTTCTCTTCACTCCTCAGAAGTCTGCCTAGAATATAGCTGGCGATCTTCCTCTGGTGGACATCACGTAGCAGTTCAGGGTCCTGAGCTGTGCTTTTTGCCCCTGCATTTGGATCCTTATTTGACATTCAGGGCAATTCTTTACCGATGACAGTGTTCTTGTTTTCACTTTGTGGGGACCAAAGCTCAGAGTGGTCGCGGTCCGTTTTCATGCTATTAGTAAGTAACAAGGAGCCTTCTGCATGATGAAGCTGTTGGCATGAACGCGCAGTGAAAGCTTGGATGGAACAGAAGAGGAAGGCAGGGCTCGGGACAAGAGCGTTTAGCGCCCAGGCCGAGACTGCTGGTGGGAAAGGCAAAGAAGACGAGGGGCAGCGCTCCGGGTGGGGGTGGGCGCTGGAAGCGGGGAGAGGAACCAGGCAGGGAAGGAGGCTTGGAAGAGGACGGGAAGTGGCTGCCGAGCAGAGCACCAGCAGGATAGTGGCCGCAGGACAGTGGCCACCGAGCAGAGCACCAGCAGCACCTAGAAATGTGTTAGAAGTGCAGGTCCATGGGCTCTGCCCAGAGCTTTGGGTGGGTACTTGAGGTGGGGCTCCTCGGTGCTAGCATGAGTTCTTTCTGTGGCTCTGATACGTGCATGTGAAGAACCTCAGCTTAATGTAGCGACCAAGGCTGACTGGACAGTGAGGGACCCTCTAAAAGACCTCACCTGCCTCTCACACAGGAATTGGAGTCCACCCTCCAAGAGGGATGGCCAGGTGTCGGTGTGAGGTAGGGATTGGGGTCCTGCCCAATAGGGACTGGGGCTAGCGCCAGGAGTGGCTCCCCGGAAGTGTGCTGTGATGGCGGAAGCAAAGCAATCACTGCAAAATTAATACATTTGTGAAACACATGTGATGATCCTGGGAGCGGCACAACAGAAAAGCACGCCGCGCGTGCCTTCTCAGTGCTTCCGCTTGGGCCACTCCGGAGCAGCCTCTAGGTGGATGGAGACATGTAAGGGGCCTTTTGATTTGTTGCTTCTTTTATGGGAAGGAAGAAGGTAACACCTGTAAAGGACAGTGGAGGAGAAAGGAAGGGGCAGAGGGGAGGAAGGGGGAGGGGGACAGAGGCAGGGTGGGGATAGGGAGGGAGGGAAGGGCAGGGAGCAGGAGGGAAGGTAGAAAGTCTCTGACTGTGGTGAGGGTTTGAAAAAATCAGTGAGAAGCTCTAGAGCATAATTTATTCTTTAATCCCAGGTGGGAGGGAGAAAGGAAGGGGGAGTGAAGGGAGAAAGGGAAGAAGGGGATAGGGAGAAAGGGGTAGGGAGGGAGGGAATGGTTGGGAGGGAAGGAAGAAGGGAAGGAAGGAAGGTAGAAAGTCTCTGACTGTGGTGAGGGTTTGAAAAAATCAGTGAGAAGCTCTAGAGCACAATCTGTCCTTTAAGACCACGTGCTGGGCACAAGCGCCAGGCAGGCGTGCCCTCCCTGTTCCACAGTTCCACAGGGGCTACCAGGGAAGCCTGCACCACACCCCATCCACCAGAGCCTGAGGTGCAGGTGCTGCCAAAGAACCAAACTGATGTTCAGAGAGGTGTGAGATGGTGAACTAGGTGCAGAACCAGTAACACCAAGAGTTGCAACTTTGTCCCCAAACTTTATCTTTCTCCTTTATGATAAGATACAGTGCTTCTGAGGACTCCGGAATGGGGATCCTTAGTTACGTGAGAGCCCGCTGATCTCGTACCTCCTCAGGTTTTACTCATCAGTACACTGCTCCGCTACAGTTCACCACTAAAAGCAGTGACCCTGAACCACCCATGCTAAGTGCATGGCTGTCCCCTCAGGCTGCTTTACCCTGCGGTTCAGTCACCTGGCAGCAAGACACACAAGTTACCTCCCCCACGTGGAGGTGTTAGGTGTGGATGCTGACCTTCATCCGCTAATGGTCATGCATAAGCACGTGCACTTGGACCTCTCTCTTAGGTTCAGCTATGTAGCCATTCCATGCTGTCTTCAGATCTTTTGAAACCACGGCAGGACAGTTTGCAAATGACAGGTGTTTAAGAGAAAGCATTTTCATATTATATCGTTGTAACTAATCTCTGGTTAATTGAGTCTAGCCTGGTAGTTTCTCTTGGCGTGACAAGAACAGTCTTGTGGCCAGCCCTGCTGCTTACATGGACATTTACAAAGACAGTGCAACACTCTCTTGGTAGTATCGTGTGGATGGAGACAGTTTGCTGGAGAGGAAAGAAAGTGGAATTTGAAGGAAACTCTCAAACAGCATTACTGAGAATGTAAATCAATAGAGCTATTATGGAAACAATAAGGTGGCTTCTCAAAAAGTTAAACATAGAACCGCCCCATCGTCCAGCACTCCCGCCGCTGGTGCTGAGCTGAAGGAAGTGAAGCCTGTGGTGTGGGAGCACTGTCGCACCCTCACGCACGCTGTCACGGAACGCGCCACAGCCAAGTCACGGCATCAGCCTGTTTCCAGCCATGGAGGAGTTGAGAACGCGTGACCAGATGTGACCATCATCTACGCAACAGGATTCCACCCAGCCTTCAAGATGAAAGAAACCTTTTTGATGAGTAGGGAGGCAATGGAAGGTGAAAGAACCCGGACACCCAGGGACAACACCACACGGTCTCATTAACGGGTGGACCCTAAAAAGTTTAACAGGTAGAGGTAGGGTAGTTCCTGGGGGATGTGGAGGAGGAGCAAACATGGGCAGGGTGGTCAAATAATATAACATTCTATTGAAAAACCTCTCTCTCTCTCTCTCTCTCTCTCTCTCTCACACACACACACACACACACACACACACACACACACACACACAGTAAGTATGTGAGGCACTGCGTATGTTAACTTCACTTTCTCCACACTGCATGCATGTTTTAAAATATACAACACATGCAATTTGAATTTTTGAGTTAAGTTTTTAGAAATGTATGTAGACTTTGGAACCAAATGAGCTTGCTTGTGATTGAGCTGTCCTTCCAAAAATTAATTCTTATGCAGTTTTGGAATATACAACTGGCAAGAAAGGAAACTCTGAAATGGAGATAATAAATCATTGCTGTAAGGAAAAAGCAAGGTACCTGCAATATGTATTCTGTGGGAGCCATAGAAACAGTTGTGTGTGGTATATTACTCCCTGTACGGCAGGGGGAATTTTAATACTTACATTTCATGTTAATTGCAGCAGTGTTCAAAACAACGTAACAAATCACTGTTTCTGTACTTTTTGTAGAAATATATATTAGTTTTAATGGAGTATAGGGATACATGTCTTTGAATCCTATGATTTAACAAGGCTATTTTATCTTTCAGCATATAAGATGATCTAATGACAAAAATGATCGCTCAAAATTAAAATATTTAGAAAACACAGCCATAAAACAGGACCTAATTTAAATGTCATTTTACTTGAATCTTAAAAACAGCGTGCTACTCCTTTTTTATCCATCAGCTAACACTGATCTTTATGCCTCAGTGTATCAGTTTTCCCTTTTATCAAAGAAGATGAGTCCGTCAATTTTCATTTGGATTCTAATACCCTGGAATTGCTAAAGCAGCCCAAATAAACAGTGGATAGTGTAAGATCGGCTGGTTACATTTCAGATCGTCCTGAACTTAAACTCTGTCATGTAAAATAGGAACAACCTCCCCCCCACCCCCCAAAAAAGCTTCTCCTGTAACTGGAGACGTCTTGTCTGCCCTCCGCCAGGACTTTGCCTACCATTTCGTGGTGTTTGTCTTCTACTTTGGAGCCTTTCTCCTGGAAGCTGCAGCCACCTCCCTGCATGACCTGAAGTGCAACAGCACCCTGTCTGTGCAGCCACTCCTGAGTGACAACCAGTACCGCATAAACGTGGCAGCCACCGTAAGTATCAGAGAGGCCACCCCAGCCTCGCTTTCCCTGCTCAAGATCATCCGTCTCCTCGGTGATAGTCTTTAGGACTAAATGTATGGTAGCGATTTACCCGTAACGAGCCCAGGGAGCAAGGTGCTGTCCCCACCCCAGTGCTGGGGATGACTAAAACGACACCGTGTATGATGACAGCGAGTCAGTCAGTAGCACCGTTTGACCTGCACCACAAAGCCTGCCTGGGAGAAGGCAGTTGTGTCATTCACTACTCTGAGTGTTCAGACAGAGTATGAGATTTGTTCCCGGGTTTGCTCCTTAGTATTCTGTACCTACTTTTGATTCTTTCTAACTGAACGTGTGTTTACCCCGGGCTGCCCTTCGGCAGGGAATTTGCAGGGCCTGGGGCTGGGATGTGCCTTAGTCACTTTCTAGTCGATAGGACAGATATAACCAATATACACAGCTAAAAGGAAGGTAGGTTTATTCGGGCTCTCAGTTTTTCGAGGACTCAGTGCACCTGCAGGCTCCAGGGCTGGGAAGGGCCCAGTGGAGGAAGGCAGGCCGACCTGCTGCTGCGGCCTCGGACGTGTACAGGTGACTGCATCTACGTTCAGTGCGGAACCTTCAAAGCCGTTTATCCTCTTTCAGTCATGTACCAGAATGAATGAGTCATTCTGTGTTGATGTGGGAACTTTGAAGACCTGTTATTTTTGTTCTCATAGAGCTGTCACAAGTCAAAATTACTCTCTGAAGTGCCTAGATGTTGAATAGTCTTTATGACAAGGCACTGACCTTTAGGCCTTACTGGGATGCCTGGGTGGTTCATAAGTGGTCCTGTGCTGTTCATGCAGTCATCCAAGCCTGCCTGGACCGTGCCATCCCAGGATGCCCTACAGCAATGCTGGCATTCTGGGTATGTGCTAGTGGCCTGGTGGCCACTGGCAACCCTGCTGAGCAACTGGAATTAGCTAGCGTGAGTAAAGCACAGATGTTTTAGTATGCTTTACATGTTGATTTTAACACTTGGTCTTTTTTAGTCTTTATTTATTTATTTGGTACAGGGTCTCACTATGCAGCTCAAACTCACAGTGATCCTTCTGTCCCAGCCTCCCCAGCACTGGGATTATGGTGTTCCCAGGGTCCCTACTTTCTTTAAAAAAAAAAAAAATGAAGCCATATGGCACAATGAAATCTTACTTAAAACCCAATACATGGAGAAGAGAGAAGTATACATTCCCCAGTTGGAGGTCAAGGCAATGGGCTTTGCCGCCACCTGTCTTCTGTCTCCCTAAAGCCACCTAAGCACCTCACTGTCCCTGAGAATAGAGTTAAATGCTTGAAGTCCTTATGATCCAAAGATCATGATTAGAAAAATACTGGATTTAATGAGTTTTTCAAAGTAAGGCACAGGGCCTCGGAGCTGATTTCTTTTCTACCTGTGAGTCCTCTGTTCCCGCGGGGCTTTCCTTTCCTGCTTTCAGCCCCTCTTCTGCCAGGTGCTGGCTGTGTTTCTGTCACCTCTCTTAGATCTCTGACGTAGACTCCAAGGGCCTGCTAATCATCACCCTCAGTTCCTACTTCCCTGGGAGGGGAAAGTGCGTGAAGATCCCTTTTCCCTGAAAGAGGGGCCGGAGGTTTTATAAATTCTTAATAAGTGACCAGTATGTGAGCAGATGGTCACCGTGAGCCCACCACATCCACCATGAGGACAGATGAGGACACTTGGGGGTCTAGAATGTTTAAAGGAAGAGATAAGGGAAGAAGCAGATAAAACTAAGTATTTGCCATCAAAAAAAAGAGGTCAATAAGGGCCGGCCAAATAGCTCAGTGGATTAAAGCACCCACTGGGGGGGTGACTGGGGGTTCAATCCCTGGGCCTGCTGTGCCAGCCCCACCCCTGAGGCATACTGAGACTGCAAGTGAGACTGGGTATGGTGGCGCGCGCTCCGGTAATCTCAGCTCTTGGGAGGCTGTATACAGGCAGATCACTACAAGTCTGATCTAGTACTGAGACCCTGAACACCCTGTAGACCCTCCCCCCCCCGACCGAAAAAAAAAAAAAAAGAGGTCAATATAGCACACTTCAGTATGCATTGAAGTGTCTTTGGCTACCTTGGCCAGTCTCTGTAGAGCTGTCACTTAGAAAAGCATTTTCTTAAAGTCAGTGTTGTGAATCCGATGTCAGGCTGTGGTTTCTTTTTCCTTAGGTTTTTGCATTTGTGACAACAGCTTGCTATGGCTGCAGCTTAGGTCTGGCCTTGCGGAGGTGGCGGCCGTAACACTCCGGGAACCAGCAGCGCCGTGCGGGCCTCATCTGGCTCCTCTACACGTGGGACCACTTGGAACTGCATCCCTGTGCAGATGTAACGGCATTCCAGAAGTCGCTTGTTTAGTACGGAGAGAAAAATCCAAAGGGACATTTTTGTTCACGAGTGGAATGTTAATTTTATTATGATGTTAAATAGAGAAATATCCTTTCATTTTTCTTTCTCTCTCTCTTTCAAGAAATTTTTCCTTAGTCCATAAAATACACAGATGCTCTTCATGAAAAGGTTCTACTCCTTCGTGTGGTTACAAAGAAAGGTACCTGAACCTTGGTGGGTAACTAGAATTCCCTGAACACTGCACATTTCCAACAGGCTTCCGTGAATTCCATCTTTCAATGTAAAATAGGAACTCGGGCACCATTTCTGCTGGAGAGTGCCAGCAGTGCATACTTAGGCTTTGCAGACCACGCTTCTCAGGCCCTGCTCTTCAGCTGTGGCTGGAACATGAATCGATGACATATCAACGAACACACGTGTCAGGTTTTTTTATTTACAAAACCAAGGCGGGCTGGATTTGACCACAGATTACGGTTTGGCAAGCGTGAGTGTAAAACCTTAGTTATGTGTTCTGTATTTCATGGAATGACTGTAAAAGTTGATAAGACTAATTCGACAAGCCGTATATTCGGTCTCATGTAATAGTCACATGCCTTTTGCTCATGGTCAAATGTCCGTGGAATGGGCCAGCAAGATAGCTCAGCGGAGTACGCACCTGCTCAGGCAAATACAGGGCCTGGGGTTCAATCCCCGGCACCACGTGCTGCACCGGCCCTACCCCCAGACACACTGAGCCAGCCACTGAGACTGGGCCTGGTGGCGCACGCCTGTAATCCCAGCAATGGGGAGGCTGAAAGCAGGAGGATCAATATGAGTCTGAGCTGTGTAGTGAGACCCTGTACCAGATACATAAAAAAGAAAAAGAAAAAGAAAAAGAAAAAGAAAAAGAAAAAGAAAAAGAAAAAGAAAGTCCTTGGAAGGGCACAGAATTTCTCAAGCCAATGCCAGCAGTCCTTGGTATAGGAAAAGGTAATTTATGCAGTGCATCCTCATTGCTGAATCAAGCTAATGAGCTCCTAACAGCTGAGCAGCACTCTCCTCGGAGAATTCTTGAAGCAGGATCTCCAGAGACCATTAACCGCTGCTGGGACTGGTATCTGGCCACTGTGTCTCACTTTGATTGATACTTAGAATACAGTTGTTTGCCCTCTGCATGAATGCATAAATATTTATGTGTGTGATGCTTTTCCACATAGAGCTCTGTAAAGAGTTAACTTTTTAGCTCTAATTATTTTATATTATTTTCTGAATTAAATTTGAATAGACTATTAAATATAATATAAAGCTGTAGATTTTTACATGTTTTAATAAATGCCCAGACAATGCTCTTGATTTTTGTGCTGGGGATAAACAAAGTCAGTTTTAAAACAAGAACATAAAAACGGTCTCTGGATAATAAGGAATCATGTTGGCCATCTATGGGGACTGTGGTCATAGGATACTGGCTCCAGAGGGGGACCTTGGAGGGCCAGGCCCCAGCTGTAAGCCCGGCTGTCCAGCCCAGCGGCTTGCCTGTCACCACGGGTGCTGCCCGGGAAGGGGGACGCTTCAGGGTGTTCTTCCAGCCCATAGGCTCCGAGCTGCGTCATAGCCTCACAGAGCCAAGCACAGCTGGGCTGTGGGCCTCCGTGGACCACGGAACAAGCACAAATGAGTAGCGTGGCCAATGCCACTGAGCAGCTCGTCAGATCTTGGCTTGTGATAGGACTGTAAGGCCGGGAGACGTGTTCGCACATGTGGCCTGAGGAAGCCATTCTTACAACTCTGTAATCATGTCATATCGTTTTTATAAAGCTGACTTCCATGATTTTCTAGTTCCATACCCTATGCCTAAGCCTGTATTATTAATTATATATTATGAAGTCATAAATGTGCCATAAAGCTATACTGTGCATTATACTTGGAATCAATTAAAGGTAGTGTGCTAGAGTGTAGTTGTACGATTTTACTTTTTCCCCAGGTGTTATAGGCCATGTTTGGTGGCATTAAATTAAATGATTTCATTCAAATATATTGGTGACACTTTTATAAATGGACTACTTTTAGATTAAGAACCAAACCTAAAACTCGCCTAACTGTGAATACTTAGATTAATAGATTAATTGCATTCTAGATTGTGAGCAGAGTGACAAAGCACTTGAACAAAGATTATGGCATTGAAGAGTTTATTTGCATATCTTCATTGTAAAAATGAAGAAGTATTGGTTGATCTCAAAATCTGATAACTTCGTGATGAAAAGAAATTTATTTTATAAGTGTTATGACTCTAATAAAGTATTCATTTGGTAATCCTCTGGTCATCTATTTTTTATATCACTCACTTTGAAATTCAGCTAAGAGTTTGATCTAAAATTGACAGAGCTTCTGCATGCATAATACATAGTCTCACCCATGTCTGTGGAAAGTCTCTTAAGAGCCGGCAGTAAATCTGTTTCCTTTGGTGAAGGTGATGAGGTAAATCTTTGGAGGTAATCATATGAAGGGAGTTCTGATGAGAATTATGCTTTATTTTACTTTAAAAAGCACTTTCTCGGTGTTTCATGCGTGCCAGGCAGTATTCTAAGCATTAGAAAACTACATGTTGGCTTTACTTAGTCTTCATCAGAACAACCTGGGAAGGGATAGAGAGATAGCCTTGTTTTAAAGATAGGGGAGCACAGCACCCCTAAGAGACACCTAGGGCGGGCCACCTCCCATCTCGGGAGGGAGCTGGGTTCTGAATGCCTGCAGGCGGGCTCCAAACTCCAAGCTCAGCTTCTGTGTTTGCTTCCCAGATTTTATCTATTTATGCAATCACTGTCCTCCCCCCCCCCAAGAGTCTTTTAGAGAATGTTTAGCAAGGTAGTCACTGAGGTAGCAGTCACGTTTTGGAACTTTTCTGTCCTAACCCAGGAGCATGATTTTCGCTCTGAGAACGTGGGCCATGCATGCATGACGGGGACAAGGCAAGCCTCCTCCTGCGGGCCAGGGTCCCTGGGCTGGCTCTCCAGGCTGCTGCTCCAGATGGACTGAGGACTGCAGGCTGCCTCACTGCCTCCTACCGCCGCAGCCTTTTGCTAAATTACCCCGGCATCTTCCTAAGCATCCCTGGCCCTGATTTCAGAGCACTCTAGGCTGAGATACAGACAGACTTTACACATGGGCCACGAGTTTCCACCTCTCCATATTCCAGAGCCTAGGATTCTAGGTGATGTCACAGAGGTCTCTCCGTAATGCCTGCTTTGTATTTCTACGCACTGCACCTGTGTACAGCTCAAGTAGTGACAAAATATACTCATGGGAGAGAGGATCAGAGCTGGGGAAGACAGGAGCATCTCGGAATACATGTTTTTCATCCAGACGTCATATACTTGCAATGTGAATTAGGAAAGCATAACACCCCCAAGACATGGTTTCCTGGATTATTCAGTATGATGCTGAGTAAGCATTTAAGTGAGGGGAAGCATTTCTCTTAACAGCTGCGCTGAGAGAAGGAGGAAAGTCACTTAGTTTATCCCGCCTGTCCTCTCGTGCTGGGGGTGACCACAAAGCCTAAAGAGTAAAGCCTTTGAGAAGAAGAGACCAGGATTGGGGCCAGTGAGACAGCTCAGTGGATGAAAGCACATGCTTAGGCAAGCTTAGGCAAGCGCAGGGACTGAGGTTTGACTCCCAGCACATGCCGTGCCAGCCCAGCACCCAGAGCAGGCTGAACCAGCCGGAGTCTGGGGTGTATGCCTGTAATCCTGGTGCTGGGAAGGCTGAAAGCAGGAGGATCACTATGAATCCAAGCTGCGTAGTAAGACTCTGCAATAAACAAGTACATTAAAAA